AATGCGGAATTTATTAATGTTATTGTCATTTATTTGTCTAAAAGTACGTTTTTTGTTAGTATTACTTCCGTTCCTACTATTTTCATTGTCATCACTGTTACAAGATATGTTGAAGACAGGAAGATGATCTGTAACGTCACTAATAATAGTTCCACTGTTAATTGAGGATGCAATATCATTTGTGATGATATTGTCTAGAAGAGTAGCGCTATTATGAGTGATTCGTGTCGGTCTGTGGATAAGAGTAACAAAAGAATTATTAAAGAGACAATTAATGAAATCTTTACTATTATTATCAAACTCAAATTTAAGGAGATCAATGTTAAAATCACCTAAAATATAAATTCGTTTGTTTTCTTTGGAAATCCGCTTAAGTAATAAGTCAAATTGCTCGGTAAAAAAAGAAATGTTAATTATGTGTGGTCTATAGATAGTTCCAACAATTAGATTCTTACCTTTGGTTTCAATTTCAATGAAGTGAGAATCACAAAAATATGGGCTAGCTGACAAGTCTGTTCTTCAGCGTTTCAGATATTAAGCTGAAAAGAACAGATATTACACCTGATCTTAGCCAAAAGGCCGAGAATCTTAGCCAAAAGGCCGACAATCTTTAATGCTAATAAAAATAATTGTTAATAAACTAATGTTACAGTAATTTAAATGACAAACTGTTTTTCCAGATACAATGGAAATAAATAACAATAATAATAATAATAATAATAATAATAATAATAATAATAATAATAATAATAATAATAATAATATATAACATCATATCATATTTTAGTATTAATTTTATTTGCTGTATTTGTTATGCAGTAGAAAGCGTAGGATTCATAACAAAACGAAAATAAAAACCGTCCTATAATATTAATTGATAGTTTAGTAATAATAGTATTAATTTTATTTGCTTTTAAGTGGCCTGTTGTTACTTATTAGAAATACAACAAAACATAAATAAAAAAAGTATGATAAACCGATTGACGAAGTTGCAATGATAATTAGGCCTAGTTATATTAAATTTAGCGTTTCGAAACTCCATTGGCGCGACATGTATTTGTTGAAAACAAACCGCGACCGAAATGATCTGTATTCTTGTCGGATGGGTGGGAATAACTCCCCCGCTGGCGCCACCACTGCACTGGAAACAAGGAACCACTTTACTACGTCACGCTGCTGCCATTATACTCTTGGGTTGCTCAACAGATAGCCAACTTTTATTGGGCCTGATCATGAGTCTAATCTTCACCCAATATGAATGAGTAGACGAGGACAGTAAGTATTAACGATACCGTCAGCTAGCAATTAATAAATAAACCTAAGTTGAAGAGGTGGTAAGAAGGTAAGAAGGCTAGGCCTTGCCCTTGTAGGTGTGTTCGATAGGCTACACTTACTTCCTGGTGGTATCCAGTCCGTGGGCGTATTTGTAGAGTAGGAGTCTTGTTGAGATAGGGTGGCTGTGATGGTGGACGGCGAAGGTCACATGGAGGGGGGCCTCGATGATTTAGTGTGGGTCGCACCTCGCAAAAAAACAGGAAAGGTAATTTTAGGTGATTTTCTCCCCACGCACCCCTAGGAGGAGTAGATACGCCACTGCTGGTAGTGGATATTCCAGTCGCATGGAAAGCCGTTTACTTTATTTAGCATACATGACCGCTGGAGTTATGTGCCATTCAATGCACTAGTACATCTGAGCATTTATTTGCAAGTGAAAATATTCATTTAACTGTAACAAATTCCACTTAAGTGCAATTCAATTGCAGCTAATTAGTCTAATTGGCATTTTGATTAGTGTAGTAATTGATTTATGATTGATGATATCTTACCTTACCTGTTACCTTTAGTCATAATAGGAGGCAAAGAGTTTACCCTTACTAAAATTGCTAATTCATTCCAATTGGAAAAAATTATATTGGAACCAATTGGAAAATACATCATTGCGTCTTGGCGCTTTCAAATTGGAAATTACATAATTGGATTTTGGCACTTTCCGATTGGATTTTGGCACTTTCCAATTGGAGTTTTTGCAATTAGGTTTCACAATATTCAATTGGAAAGTGCCAATCCAAAACTTTATCCCATTGGATTTTGTCACTTTCCAATTTAATTTTTTTTTTCAATTGAGCTAATAACATCCAATTGGAAACAAGTTCAATTGTAAAGTGTCAAAATCCAATGATGTATTTTCCAATTGGATCCAATTTCATCCCATTGGATTTTGGCACTTTCCAATTGGGGTTTATCTAATTGGATATTATAAACCCAATTAGGGGTAACACTCCAATTTTATCCAATTGGATTTTGGCACTTTCCAATTGGAATTTTATCCAATTAGAATTTTATTCAATTGGATAACATAAAAAGGATGGACACCAATTGGAAAATGCCAGAACCAAATGAGGCTTTAAAGATGTTTGCAAATACTGCTAAATACTGAAAATAAAAGAAAAAGAAACAATTGTTATTTGCATTTATTTTAGTTATTTAAAGAACCTAAGAAATGGGCTTTTTAACCAATATATTTGATTAAAAAACACATTTTATGCCTAACCACGACTTTTTTTTTTTTTCATCACTAACATCGAAAATATGACGATTTATTAAAATTTCCTAAGCCCCGCCCCTTTAGAACTGTTCCGACTTCAATTTTAATGACGTGACGTCAGAGGAGTAACGCGTTTCAGTGGACAATAGTTCCTGCTGCTATCGTGTGGCCGCAGAAAACACTGACAGGCTGTCATTTTCGACTTTTCTAGTTTTTTTTTGGTCTTCCAATATTTCTAAATAAAATGAGCCATACACAGACGAGCCCGTACCAGTCCATAGTGTGGATGAGGATGAAAAATTCCAGAGAGTTGTTGAAGAACAGCAAAACCACCTAATTAATATGGATTTGTAAGTTTCTTTTTGACGATTTCGTTTTTTTGTGTTACTCGGGCCTAGGTCTGAAAATTGACAAGGTAGGCCGAGGCCTATGTTGTGTACTCGTTGTGTAGATATTTACTAGGCCTAGCTGTGATTCTTTCCTTACATTCTCATTTTGTTTTCCCCAGATACTTAAATAGTATAATTATGATAATTAAAAAAATCTTCCTTCTTTAATTCGTGTTTAATTCAGGCTTTTAGCAAGCCCTGAAAATCACAGCTTTTCTTACGACAATTGTCGGCTACATATTATCTGATTAGTAGTCGCCTAGGCCTAGTGGCCTAGCCTACCACTCTAGCGTCAGCCGGTACAATTTTTTTTAATTTTCTTATTTACCGTTTAAACTAAAAACATCCCGATTGATATTATACTTAATAGCTAAATTTTAGTTTGTCAAAAGTAGCAAACACGCCATCATAGGCTCGTTCTTAGGCTAGCCTATACCTGTTGTTGATGCCTGTGGCAAATCGGCGACCTTTCAGACTATAGGCCCTAGGCTTGCGATGATGTCTAGGCCTAGGTTCTGGGTCTACCTGAAAAGAATCACCTACTGTCGTGTGTATCAAGCAGAAACTGCACCATATAAAACTGTGTGTACAGTAACTTATGATTTCATTATAGTTTGTTTATTTTTTTAAATATCGTTTATGGTTGACAATACGATGAAAGTTCAGGTACACCTCCCTTGTCTAATGAATGGCAGTGCATATAAGTTTAATGGGTATAGTGATGTGTAAGTAATTTGGTGGGCCTAGGGCCTATCTAGGTTGATTATTTGACAACAGTGGTTCAACATACTGTACTGTAATTGGCGATAGTACATTATTTTTATTATGTACTGCAGTATTTATTCAATTATACTTCCTCCTCTCTCAGCTCGAATCAATTGGTGTTTCTTGACTGTACAATATTTTTGCTTTAGTATGTAGGGTTAGATCTACTCCTGTTCAATTATATTGCATTCTGTATACTATTTAGGCGCAAATGTCAGAATTGTACACAGATGGCATCGTATGAAGAGTGTCTATGCTGCTCGGAGGTTATTGCAATTGCAGGGACTTTTGAAAGAGACCAAGAGGTGACAGGACCTCTTAGTGTATCACAGATCACCCAGGATTCGAACCAATATGCCTGAATGTTTGGTCTGTGTAGCTTGCAATTGGGAGGGGAAAGAAGAATCGTAACAAGTCAATTAATGAGTAAGTGCAAAGAAAACAATATAAATTTAAAATAATTTATTTACTTTCACTTATTTAAAACATCAACAGTTGAACTTTCCTAAGTCAAATCCAAAGTGACATTGAAAAATTGTTTGAATTAGATAAAATTAGACTTACATACACTTAATGGAAAACACAACAACTTGGCATATAAAATAAGATCGACTTATAAAATATTCGAGTTCGGCAAATTTAACTGTATTTTATATTACAGTATTTATACAGTAATTCAATAACATTGCTGATCATTATTCCTGCTTAAAATTTTTTTTTAATCACAGTTGATTGCAAACTGAAACAACAGATGAACATATAAACTGCATTTTATTATGCAACATGTATGATAAAAATTTGTTTTTTTGCTTTCTCACTTTTTCTAGGAAATACAGACACGCAAGTTACAGAAACTTTGTTAGATGGACTCATGGCTACATGGGAAAAGGCAACCGTACTGTGCTTCCAGCCTGCGTTGTCAAAACTATTAGACATCACTTTCAATCGCAATCATATACTGGGTTCAAATATCCCATTGTTTAAAAATACAGTTAAACTTTCCAAAGTCGAATCCAAAATGCCATTGAAATATTGTTCGACTAAAATTTGACTTGTAGATTGTTAATTAATGAAAAACACAACAATTTGGCATGTAAAATAAGATCGACTTAGAAATTATTCGACTTAAAAATTATTTGAACTAGGCACAGTCGACTTTAGGCAACTGTACCCGTACACCTACATATGCATAAGAGCATGGTGTTAATAAATTGTTCATTATTGTATATTAAATCCGGTTTTGTGTTATTGCGTCTGCCTTGTTGGGGTTGTAAAATGGACGTTTTACTGTATTTGCCTAATTTTTGACAGTAAACCGAGTCTTGTGACTTTCAATTGCTTCTGCCTTGTCCGGGTGATGGAAAGTGCTGCACAATGATGGTGGTACTTGCATCTCCACTGGTTTGGCATCAGAATTAATTAGTTCCAGGACATTTTCCAAAAGTCTGTCAACATAGACTGTAAAAAACAAAATGAATAAAGAAACTTAACACCATTTAAAATACAGAAGGTTGCGGATGCTCAACATTTCAATTCAAATAGTACTTACTGTAGGTTGGGGCTGCCAGTACAGGTGTAACAACAGATCCCCCATTCTTAAATTTTGGGAACTTGATTTTGTATTGCTTCTCACCATCAGCAGTTTGTTCCTGTTCTCGTCCACCATTTTCATTGTAATGAAGGGCAGTAATGTATGTTCTGCAAATAAAATAGTAATACAGTATTTCAACCACAGTAAGGGGTGCATTGCTGCATGCTATTAAATGGGATCACTAAACAAATAAAAACAAACACTTTACTAATTTAACTGCACCTGCCTTACACAGACAAAAGGATCTACTTACATGTCTCTTCCTAATGAAAGACCACAATTCTTTCATCCCATATTAACGAAAATCTTTTATCTTTATTATTCTAGACCTAAAATGCTGAAGATAATGGGAACCCTTGTCCTAAATCTGGTCTTTAATTTGTGGGAGACATGTACTAAATTTTGGCTAAAACATGACAAAAAAATACTTGTGAAATATAGCTGGAATATGACGTTTTAGGATCATCATTTCCCTAATAAAAAGATGTGCCAAATTTGGAATCTGAAAAATGTTGGCTTCATTAGGTAATTTAAGGATTTGTATGTCCTTACTGCAAACCTGCCAGAAATTAATGAGGTAAAACAAATCTGCGTTGTGACGTCATTTGTGCCTGAATTCAGGTTGCGTAATCTAATCCACATCAGTCCACGCTGGGAAACATATGCGCAAACAGATTAGTAGTAGTTGTGCACGGGGTGTTTTTGGTATGATCTGTCCAAGTACAGCTACGGTAGGTGGATAAATTGATATGGTGACTAACACTTAAATAATTTAGCATCAATAATATTGTACTAAATACAATAATGACAGTACTACACAAGATGTAGAAGCAAATAAATTCACATCACGATTATCATCACGATCCAAAAATAGGCCTAGGCTAGACTGTACTACTAGACTAGAGAGTGAGGAAGAGAGGACATACCTACCTTACCCAAAGAGAAAGGCCTAAGCCTAGCCTACTTAGAAATGCAATTTTATTCATAGCTTGCACTTTTCTTTCGTCATTCGTTTTCAATAAAGTATATATTAAAATATATATTCTTGTTTTCCCTCTTTCTACGTATTTTGTACTGATGTTCCGATGGAAGAAATTCCACAGGTCTGACGCTTGTTTTCACATCTCCCTGCTTGCATTACTTAATTTAAGTGCTTGTGTGTGTAGAAAGTTACTCTCAATTGAGGGCAGTATTGATGGGAGGCAATGGGCATTTTATGATAATTATACTTATTAATTTAATTATAAACTTGTTTTAGTAAGTAATTACAGTATATTGCAATTTAAAAAAATTAATATATATGGTTTTTGTACGTAGCTTTTAGAATTCTATAATAAAATACACTAAATCACTGCTGATTTCAAATGCGTTTCATAGCTTGTTTCTGTGCTGTGCACTTGCTGTGATTGTGAAAAATGAGGTGCAATAGAAAGAGAACTACAAATTGAAGAACATTATAAAACAAAAACAACTATAAGCTTTCGTTTAGGTAGTGAACTTTTTTTATATTTAATGTTCCTAAACCTCTTTGCATTAATGATATAATTATATATAAATTTTGAATATTACATATAAAAGAAGTTCACTACCTAAACGAAAGCTTATAGTTGTTTTTGTTTTATAATGTTCTTCAATTTGTAGTTCTCTTTCTTTCAGCCAAAAGTTTACAGTTAACAAACAGGGAAACATTAACAAACATTGGCCAGGATAGCCCAAGAAAACCAATATCAGGTTTATTTCCATTGGGGTCCTGCATTAACATTACTGTATTAGATTGTACCATCATGTTGCATACAGGCGATTCATATGTTGGATCTGGCACAAGCTTGGCCGAAACAACCGAAGAGTAATACCAGCATGTGCAGTTCTTACAATATGGAAGCCATTTCCTTCCGATACTTGCACTTGAATTCCTAATTTTAACATTACTGCATATACCTACATTAAAATTCTGTTTCATTTGAATCTTGACTTTCTTTCCCTAACCAGTGTAGCCTTATCAGTCCAAATAAAGTAATTCGTTATTTGTTCAGGAATGACGTCATGATTTTCTTTTGCATTGTCAAGTGCATCCTTAAGCGTTTTGATCTCATACCGACTCTCAAAGGAAGAGCATCAAATAATTCTTCAACATAACCTACAAAACAGAAAAGAAGTACACATCATTATTGAAAAAAATATATGTGGATCCCGTATCAATTATTTGAATTGTTTCCTTTATGATCAAATAAATATTTAGTTTTAATACAGTATTTACAGTTCACATGAGAATGCTATGAGAGTATTCATTAATTTTTTTAAGTTAAGTTGTAGTTGGATAACCCCTAAGAAGAGGAACCAAATCAACACACACACACACACACCCACACACACAATTTAAATTGCTGGCTATATCATCTTCCTCAAAATAAAGACTACATTTCTGCATCCCAAAATAAACATCTATTCTAATGGTGTTATTGGTTCTTTGTTATGGTAAGCAACAAAACATACCTAATGTGGATTCTTCATTTACAGCTTTTAATAGATTGTTGTTTTTTCTACAATGTTAGGAAACAAACTGCCAATTTTGCTTATCCTTCTCTGGTTAATATGCCTGGTGTTGTTCCTTTCGGTTGACCATTATCTTCTATAACAATGTCAGTAACAACTCCCCTAACACCTTTCTCTTCATTTGCATCTGCATTTGGTAAGGTCTTCTAGTACAGTACCTAGCAAGTAAAAGAAATAATAAAAATCTAAATGCCAGACCAGCACAAGCTATAGTTTAAATTAGGCTAGCCTAAGACAGACTTTATCAAGTTAGTAAAAAGCATTTCTGTAACAACACGTTATATCGACATTGCGGACTTATAAAATCCGCATACGCCTTAAAACTAAAAGAAAATGCATACATTTAGAGTCCGTACTGAGCCCAAAAAATCCGCAATGAAAATATAACGTGTTAAACCCAGTCTTCAAATATCCGTAGTAAGTTAAATGCAAAATTTCCGAAGCACCTAATAATTTGTCTTGAGTGCAAGTAATTATGGGTACAGGAAAATAATAATTGTGGATTCTAAATAACAGGCCATTTTTTTTGCAATAATTTTTTCAGTCTGACAAAATGAGTTGTCTAGAGACAATGTAACCAAAGTTTTTGATGGAAAATTAAATTGTTCTGGAATTTAGACCTATTATTTATTTGTATTATACACATAAATAATAGATAGGCCTATGATAAATTTCTGCAATAGGCCCTAGTACTAGTAGTATTTTTTATATTTCAATGCATCCGTAATAATTAGGAAAAATTTCTATATAAATACTGGAATTCAGTATTATTTGAGAAGTCTAAGTACAGCTATCTCGATAATGATATAAAGAATGTTAGGGTTGGCAACAGGACTAGTTATATAGTATTACAGTATTAGATTTGCAACACCCCTAGCATATCCGGCCCACAGCAGCAGCAGCAGTAGTAGTTAGGTAGTAGGCCTAGGTAGGAACACTACCATGCCCATGGCATTATCTATATTAAATTGTACTGCCTCTTCTTAAAATGAACAAGGTCTAGCCTAGGTCAAGCCCTAACTAAATAGGCTAGGCTAGTACATTGCAGCATGGAGGAAATATACTTTATATATTTCCTCCACGATTGATGAATTGATAGGCCTAAAAATTGAAGGCATACACTATCATTATCATAATTATGCAGCCTAGGCCTAGCTAGTACAGCACTAGCCAAGGCTAGGCCAGTTCTCAACTTACCTCCTTTTTCCTTCCTTTTGATAAGCCCCACGCACGATCTTGGGTGGAAGTGTTGGTTGTTGATTTAAAATACTATAGGCACTGCATTCGTTTTTAGCTTCCTTAAATATTTTTCCATGTATTCTAAAAGACGATAAATAATCTAGGTCTCTCGGCGCCTGGCAGTCGACATTGTGAAATACTTGATCACGACATCGTGAATGAATGAAGTGCTGTGTTGAGTGGGCTCCCAAGCCACCTACCTAGGCAAGGCCTACGATTTCTTCACCAATTTTTACTTCGGAAAACTTAGGAAACTTAAATGTTGTGGTTTTTAGATTATGTTTACATCCAAAGGCAATGTAATATGGCAGGTCTGTAGGAGTTTCAGCAATACTCTTTTTTTTTGGTAATCGTCTTTTCTCACAGAGAGACGAACAACGAACTTCAGCCGTGTTTTGTGTGTGCCGCGTCCAGTGTCAATGTGCTTGAATTTGTTTACGTTTTGGTTCGGCACACGTGACGTCACACCTAATTAGCATATTGTTTACTATGAATATCTGAACCAACAGAGCGATGCTATAATATAGTCTCTTTTAATTGCCCTAAAATAGCATAAAAAGCGCGATTTTTTTAAAATAAAGAGATTCAACGTATACTAACAATTTAATTTATCTATATATATTGTTCTGGCTATATTTCACAAGTCCTTTAAATGAGTAGTTGTGTAACTTAGGGGCGATCTGATTCAGCAACAGTGAAATGCCTCTAGTTGGATGTTTGAAAACTCTCGCTCAGCATTTTGATGTCTCCAGTCATCCTCCGATTTTCAACGACTTCTGCCAAGGTGCTTGCTGCTGTACTACTGGAAATTATTAAAAAGAACCTTGTGTGGTCATTAAATGTCATGGCTGAATTTAGAGTTTTTGGTTAGGGGATTCGGGGGCAGGAGTGAGGGAACAGGGTTGGCGAAGTGGGGGTTGGTGGTTTTTTTTAAATAGGTCTTCAAATGTATTGGAAAAAGAAGGTAAATTTTAGAAGGGGTCCCCCACCCTGTCTAAATCTTCCCCTGAATATATATGTTTGT